CGGAGTCGACGAGGCTTCGTTGACAAAAGTGCCCGAAGATCTCCCTAGAGGTTTTCTGTCTGGCAACCAGTTTAAAGGACTAAGACCTGTGGGCACGAAGATGCTCACTCTCACTAAACAATAAATCTGAAATTGTTGTAAGCGTTTCTTTTTTACCAAATAAAAGGCAAAACACACAGTGAAAACTCAACAAATATCATTGTGAACTCATTTGGCTTCTCTTCTGCGAAATATCTTACTAATTATTTATCATTTTTCCTTTGCGAAAAATAGTGAATTGGTTGGCTGCCTACCTGAAACGCGTTCAAGCCGCTCCAGACTCCCCGTCCATGTCAATATCCGAAAAATTCACGTGTGATCGACTGGTACCCTTGCCCTCAGAACAACGGCTGACCTCTCGTATTGACTTTGAGATTGAGGAAGATCCTATGCGGAACATCCTCTGGGGTATTTTCACATCGCACTGGTCTTACTGGACTTCTGAGGCATTTGCATTTTTCCTACTTAGTCAACTGCATGGTGCCCCAAACGTGCAACAAAACGACCCCTAATGGTTGTCATGAGGGAGTCTCACTTTATGGACAGCCGATCCTGCCACAGACGACATTTCTGACCTTCCTTGAATTCGTTTCTCTTTGTTGTGACTGTATTTTCCTGACCATCTTGAATCGGGAGGATGAGTTGAATTTAAGCCTTACTGACGAATGTATTTTACCTTCTAGCCCTAGCATTATCTTAGTACAACTCCTTCAGATAATGTTTTGGGTGGGAATACTGCAAGTCAGCGTGTCTTTGGGATGATGATAGATGGTCGAGATTTTCGGTGGGCGAGTTTGCTTGAATAATTGTTTGTGTTTCAATAACAGCTCAGCCGCACGCCCATTCCAAAGATACTGGTCTGAGAGGGCTGATAGTGAACCGCAGGTTCCATCTGACGTCATCGCCTGTTGCCCCCGAAGACAACATACACGTAAAATTTCGCTCAAGTTTTGTGTCCTAGTTTCTTGTCTCCTTGTAAAGATCATCCCCGAAGTCTTGAAGACCTTCGCGATCTCGTTATCTTTGACGTCGGATTCTCAAAACCGCGATTAGCGGAACACTACCGGCGATATTTGAAGAACCGTAGACATAACGAACCTGGGTATGTTCACTTACTTCCCACCAGGATACGTCCTGGAGTTAAACTTACTACAAACCTTGTTGGCGCTAGTATTCCTCTAGTTCATGGCACAGTCTCCGTATGTAAATTCGTCAGCTGTATGCCAGAATAGGTAGGACGAAGTGATAAGAGAATAATCGTCTAGAATGGCTTTGTTACTCGCCTATCTGTATCCCAGCTTAAGTGGCCTTCTGTCATTCGTCACTTATTTAACAGTTATTTGTAGAGGCCTTCCAAGCGAGAACTATTAAAACAGACGTCCGCCTTTGGGGGCGGAGAGATTCTCCATCGTTTGTCTTTGCAAACTTTCATATCAAATTTTAACTTTGAATAACCATTAAGAGGATAGCTCCTCCAGACTTTCCCTGGTAGGTTCAATCTCCCTAACCGTCGTACCCAAAGATATCTTTTTGCAAATTCCTCCCCGTTGACTCCAAATTCCCCAGCTGATGGCTCACAAGAATCGAGTTCCCCGTATTACGATCGTGGGTTGTTTAAATATTCACCAAGCCGTGCAGTTAGACGAAACAAATAAGGACTAATAAGCACACATAGCCTTAAAGAACAACATCAAGATATACAGTGCAATTCGTAAGAAAATCTGGCTAATCCGTCTGGCTAGTAGGGTATCGCGTGCATCACTGCACCCACTGACAGCAGCGGTTAA